ACCTAATGACTCGTAATCCTGGAGCCATGACATGCAACTTAGTACATACGCCTTAGTTGGTACCCCTTTCGTGGCTCATAGTGGTCGGACTCGGCAAGGCTTAGTTCGCGAATCGCATTCTCTCCAAATCCGCTGTGTACGACTTGGAAATATAGTGTTATCTGTCAGTCGTTCATCCGCCAGCTGCAGTTCCATCGGAAGAGTCCATTATGATGAAACTTGGGCTCCAATACTCCCATTCGGGAGCTTGCTTATCGACCCAAAGCATGCCCTCGGCGAGAAGATCTTGGACGGCGGTCTGTGCTCGAGCTCTCGTCCAGCGCAAATTGACCATTAGCATGGTGACTTTGACATAGCCCAGAACTTGAGCAGCTTCAAGGACAGAACTCTGATCTGTACTGAGCTCCTTAGGCACCGACCGTATATACGGTTTATTACCGACTTTAATGACTGAGTGGCTAGAGCCCAGGGGCTCCAGTGTGGCCACGGCCCGAAGCACGTCGTCTCTACCACCGGTGTTAGCATTTCAGTCAGAGTTGATGAGAATAGACGTTGAAAAACGACAGGCTTGGCACGAGCGGTGAGAGTCCCCACGTACTCTGTAACTTCAGGAGCACCCTCCATACGGCCCTGCATGACCTTGTCCCTGAGTTCCCGGACGCCGATAAGACCACCGTTCTCCCCACGCGTCGCTCCGCAGACCTCGACGACGCGTACCGCAAGCTCAAAGTAGAAGTCGTTGACACTTCGCCCCAGGAGCTGCGCCCAGATGCTACCAACGCCGCCGCCTCCGCTACCGCTATTGCTGGATGAGGCCAGAGGGTCCACGCCAATAGCAGCACACATGCGCGCGAACTGGGCGCGAAAGGACGGGTTTGACCGAATGTCGCGGGCGTGTGTCTGCGCGAACTGCTGCAGAAGAGATCGGAACACGGCCAGTTGAGTCTCGAGAGCCTGTGCGTTCGTGCTGCGCAGCGAGTTGCCGTGTGAAGCAAATTGTGCTGATGTCAAGCGGGACCGGTCAAAGGCCGCGAGACCAACACCTTTTCGTGACATGTTTGACCACCAGGCGCTGCCTTGGCCTGAGATGAGAGTCCGCTGGCGCCGTATCCGGATGAATTGGTCCAGTTCTCGGGACGACTCAGCAATAAGACGATCTTATTCAATCGACTTGTTCAAATATATGGGAGAGCGGTTTGGGGGGAGTTCATATATATCGTGCCTACCCGACCTCGGGATGATTCTATCTCATCTCATCTCGAGTCCATTTGAAATGGATATGGTTCAAGGGATGACGTCGGGTTCAGGAATATCTTCGGTAAATTATTCAGCCTTTGGACCCACTCATTCATGCCACTTACTTATTACATAGATAGGTAGTTAGTAGATTGGCCCCACACAATGTTAATTTCTTATCAGTCAGCCCCGCACCCTTATCTATTTAAGTTAATTAGCCACATTATAATATAGCCACAGCAGACAGCCACAAGCTGGCGAGAACCAATGGAAAAATACCCACCAAAACGCACAAATCGCAACTCCACTACAAGCACCTCGAAAATTCCTATGTGAAGTTCGCTCGCTGCGTTTCCACATCCGTCAAGCTCAGATTCGACCTCCGCCCACATCAACGACAATCTCAAGAAACCGCCAACATGGCCTCGGTTCAATCAGTTCGTACGTGAATCTCTCGATTCCAATAGCTTGGGGCTCTTTCAATCCCGAGAGACGAAGACAATTGCTAATATGATGTATTTACAGAGTGCTTCGGCGTACGAATTCCCCTCCGGAGTCCTCACCCAGACCTCGACTCGTTTTTTTTTTGCGCCAAAATGCTGACGATGCTCGAAATTATAGAAGAAGAAGTCTGCGACAGCAGTTGCGGTACGCCCAAGACACGTTCCTCTACACGGGATTCGATATACTGACATAGTATAACAGGCCTGCAAGGCTGGCTCCGGTCTGATCAAGGTTAACGGTACATTCGCCCCGGATTCATGTCCTCCTACCCGTCTGCCAGTATCATCTAATGCTTTGCCACCCCAGGCAAGCCCCTTAGCCTAGTCGAGCCCGCCACCCTCCGCTTCAAGGTCTACGAGCCTCTTCTCATTATCGGCCTCGACAAGTTCGCCAACGTTGACATCCGCGTCCGCGTCACCGGTGGTGGTCAGACCAGCCAGGTCTACGCCGTCCGTCAGGCTATCAGCAAGGTAAATCCGATACGCATTCTTCGAAACAGGTTTGGTTCATGAGAGAGCACGAAGCTAAGCCAGAACGAAAACTTTAGGCCTTGATCGCCTACTACCAGAAATTCGTCGATGAGCACAGCAAGAACCTGCTGAAGCAGGCCCTCGTCCAGTACGACCGTACCCTCCTAGTCGCCGACAACCGACGATGTGAACCCAAGAAATTCGGTGGTCCGGGTGCTCGTGCCCGGTACCAGAAGTCCTACCGTTAAAGCGAAATCGCCAAGTTGCGTTTTACTTTTGCGGATGCGTCTGGTTCTGGAGAGGGCGGGGATGGAGAAGAGCAGACTAGTCCCTTGGTACGGAGAAGAAGCACTGCTTTCGAACGACGGATCATATCAATCCATACGGGGCTGGTTTCTGTCATCCTTGTCTCTCCCGTGTTCTTCGCGAGCTCGGAACGGTGGGTCGGACTGAGGGAGTTACATATAAAAGGAAATCCGGCAAGGCCGCTATCACTGGTCCCAAATGCCTTTCCTATGGTCATTGCATTTACATGGCAGGGAAGTTCTGTCTGGTTGTAAAAGGGATTAGGCGAAATGAAACGACACAAATTCTGAACAAAAAAAACAGAGAAAAGAAACACCAGATCCAGTTCCTAGTGACGAATACGAATATGCACACGTCGGAGACTTTGCCGGAGGAGTGGTGACAAGACAATGAACCCGAACTCCTCTCGGAGCTTGGCGGTCAAGTGACTTCCATGACTTAGTATCGATCACGTTAACAAGACAGCGCACGACTGAGAGCGGCCAGCCCAAGCCGCCCCGGAGATTATCCGGATCCAGATACCCCAGAGCCCGACAAGTCGGTATGCTAGAGTGAAATGTGCCAAAATCCAGGATCCACTCCTGATCTAGAGACCCGCCAATGTACACGCAGAATCCAATAGTGAGGCGGCCTGAATCCAACCATGGTTACCGCGTGCCTTGTCACTACAAAGGCGGACTTTGAATGGTATATGACGAGACATTCGTGGGTGAGATGATACAATTCTATGCTTGTTCCCATATTTCCCCTGTCTGCCAACCCCGACCACTCTGCTACCCCCTATTTAACGGCGTTCAAGGCATTTATCAGTGGATTAGATTGTGTCGCTCCCACATCGTAGCAATTTGATTTCTCCACTCCCGCCCTCTCATTGATGTGGTTCAAAAGATATGATCTAAGCTAGCGGTGATGTGCAATGGAATCCTTCATTGCTAGGACGATCTCACCGTCTTGGTCACTGGCAAATTCCAAGGTATGTACATCTGAGATGCCCATATAGACCGAAGGCTAACGTGCTCACAAGATATGCATAGACATCTGCCGAGCTCCAGGGCTAATAAGTAACAATACGAGGTTGCTGAACATGGATGGCCTGGCACTCACGGTTCGGTATCAATGGATCCATAGCGTCATGGGTAGAAATCAATAACTACTACGAGGCAGGACTTCGGGGGGGGGGGGGGGGTGAATCCTGCTGAACCCCCATATTTAGACGAATGCTTGGGAGTTGCTGGGCCTGCCTGCTGTCCGTCCGTCCGTCCCCCCCTGCCGGATATCACTGGACGGAAGGAAGCCCCTGAGGAAACGGGTTTTGGACGTGCCGGACAGAATATACCCGGAGCTACCGTTGAAGCATGGCACTGCAAAACTTGCTCAACTGATATATCACCGAGTCTAATCATGAGGCATCAGATAGGGTTGGGCTCGTAAAGCCGGACACATTCCTGGGGCTTTTCACCCTAACTTGACGAAAGTATATCTCGTTTGCCAGTGAAGGCATCGCAGAATTACCGCCAGAACATCAAAGGCAGACTTCCAGCGCGGGCCATACATCTAACCCGACAACCGCAGTCACCACTTTAGGCCTAGACATATCGAGAAGCCAATCGAGAAGCCAATCCAGTCTGACTTGTCAGTTCTTTCTGCAACTACTTACTCTCTTCCCCCTTTTCCCTATCTGCTACGATGGCCCCTGGATGATCCCGCTAGACTTTTTTATGAGATTATATATGGCCTTGAGTTTCTCTCCCTCGGACGTGGTCTCCCCCTTCGTGTGTTTACAGATGTTCACTCAACCAGAGAACCTTGTAGCACCGTTAGCTTCCGCGGCCATACAGCGGGACGCTGTGGACTAACCTAGTTGTAGATGTTAAGATGGTTGAAGATCGTGAGACGGTTATGGAACTGAAGGTTCTCTCTCGCCTCTGCTCTAATTCTCAACGCGTGTGGTTCATTTAAGACTATGTGACACCGCTCCGGTTTACTTATGTCACCTTCACTTTATCTTGCGACTTGCCTGTTTGGTCTTCGTTTAATGTTCCGGATGGCGATTGTCGGTGGCTGCTCCGCTGGGCTCACCTCGTGTGCATTCCGCCCTCTGGGTGAGGCGCGTTATATACCTACGACAGAATCCCCCCCTTATGAATGGGTGAGCTACAGAGCGTGTGAGCATATTTAGGTATTAAGTCTGTGAGTTTGAGTAAATAAATATCGTCTAAGCCACTGCTGTAAAAGTCGTGATGTCTGTCTGTCTGGATTTATTCCCACATTGACATTGCTGCTATCAAACTACCTACCTACTTACCTACCGCCGCAATTCTAAGAATGATAAATTATCTTGTAATTCAAAAGCAGCAGCAGCAGCACCTTTGATCCAAGTTTGACGAGGCCGAAAGGAGCAAGCCGAAAAAAAAAAAAAAAAAAAAAAAAAGACTTTTACAGAGACAAAAAAGGTTTTTTAAAAAAAAAAAAGTCAAAAAAGAACTCTCGATCGGGGAATCGAACCCCGGCCACCTGCGGGCTTGTTCATTGAAATGAATGACAAGCAGGTATCCTAGCCACTAGACCAATCGAGATGGCGTTATTTGATGGAATTCACTCCGCATAATCGACTTCTAGTTCATTTTTGGGGGGGGGGGGGGGGGGGTGTGGAACCCCGGATTTTTCAGTTTTTAAACCACGACCCGGCCGGTTTT